GTGTGAGGCAAGTACTCCATAGTGTCCGACTTACAGATAGGGAAACTGAGGCTCAGGGTGGGTGTATCTAGTCCGACACGGCACCAGTGGCTGCAGAGGATTTGCAATCAGGGATCTGAACCTCTACGCACTTCGCTGTCTTCCCAGGATATCGCCTCCTTGTTACAAGCCTCATTTATTTTGGTCATCCTAAGCATTTTCTCAGTGACCCAAATAGATAATGTCCAATTTAAAACTGTTGATCAAGGATCAGTGAATATGAGTGGCAATGGGAACCAAGGGAGCAGCTGGTAGAAAAGAACCTCTTGCTTCTACCAGATGGCATTTATTTGGCCTGGCATTTATTTTAGCCAAGTCTGTTCCTCAAAGCGGAAGCCAAATACTTGATGAGGAGGATCAGTTGGCTATGTTCATCAGTCACCTGAGATATGTGAGGTCCTAATAGGCTACTTTTTACCATATATACTAAAACATATCTAGATATAGCAGTGTCATTGCCTCCACTGTAAAGAAAAACATCAATATTATAAAAGCAAAGCATAGGTGCTTCCATCAAATAGATGAGAAATTAACAATAGTTTCTATCTTGCATGTAATTATAATTGCTGCTGGGTAGCTGATGCCTTCAGCTTGGTAGATGCAGGGATCTCTGAAGTGAAAGACAGCTAGCCTGAATATCTTTGTGCTGTTAGATCTCTGAGAGGAGGTGCCAGGCATCCAAGGCAAATGAAAACCTCAGGATTTATCCCCTGCTGAATGTATGGTTGTCTCCGGGTAAAACCCAGTAAGAAGGGAACAAAGGGGAAAAAAGAAGCTTGCTAGCTACCCCATGTCCTCTGCTTTGGAGAGATTATGCTTGACACTGTGAAAAAAATAATGCTAATAACATCTCCATGGCTTCTCAACATATGTCCTCACCCTGTCCTGTTCAAAAAGGAATCTGCAGTCCTCTGCCATCCGCCTCTGCTTGGGTTTGGTCTCCCCACATGCCTGGGGGTCAGAGCACATCAACTTATGACGGGAGTCTCCAGCAGAACAGGAGGTGCAGCCCACTCGCAAAGCCACGCGAACCGCGGTGACAGGCTCATTTAGAAACAAGTGAGAGGTTAAGTACGAAGTGCATGACGGAGGCAAGACCGAGTTTCCCTTTCCCCCTTCCTGTCGGTTAGAATTAGAAAGTGCCTATGAGCAGCGTGTGTCAAGAATATGAACGTGAGATGTCATTTCGGCTGCCTCTAATTGAAGGCAGGATAAATGGAGTGGAAAGGCAGCGTCTAATCCAATCAAAACATGAAAAAGGTATTTTGACATGTAAATTACAAACTTCCTGTGTATTTTGTCTCCCCAATTACACCCTCCCCTGTCATGTTTTTTTAAATTATATCTTAATCTCCCAGTCTCCTAATAATTATGTCATCATTCTTGGGCCTTGAACACTGTGTAATGGTATTTTATGGGATATGCCATTCATTATTAACTAAACTCACTTTCTGTCCCCAGTGATACCATATCTCACCGTGTTCAAATATGCCTGGTGTCAGCTTTGTAAATGCTACAGCAGTTCCACTCTCTGCTTCACGATTACATGGAAGTGAATTGGTGAAGCACTTTTGGACAGTTAATCCGACTCATCAGTATTTTATGTGGGGATGGCCGACACCTTTTTCTGTTTAAATGGGATGAGCAGTTGGTTTAAAGTATAAATCTCTCATCTTTGGGGCTCATTCAAATAGTGCCTTGCACAGAGATTTTACTGCTGCTCTTAAAGTAATAGCTGATATTGATATCATACAACTGAGATCCCAAGAAGAAGTCAGATAGTAAAGAAAAACTGTAGTTTGGTATGCAGAGAGCAGTGACATGGCACGGGTGGGAAGCACTGGTAAATACTATTATAAATTGTTCCCAAGCAGGAGAAAAACCTTCAAAATCATGGCCCATGGTCCCTGGATTTATAGGTGAAAAAGATAATAACAATAACAGCTACCAGGTAAAAGAAATTCACCAGGTCATTCTGTTCTTAGGAGGCAGAAACTAAGATTCCTCAGGGCACCAATGGGACCACACCAAGGTCCTGTCAGCCACGCCCCAGAGCCCCTGGTGCTACATTCTAGCCCCTGGTCCCCATTCTAGGGGACCACCTATAAGCAGGAGTGAAGCATCTCTGGGAAACTCACCCAGTGCTTGGACCAGGGCAGTAGCATGTCAGGGAGCAGCACATAACACTGAAAGTCACCACTGAACAACCTCAGCTACTAAAAAGCCACTGATCTCTTCAAACACTTTCTTCAAACGGCTATCTTTGAATACAGGGCTTATTCACACTCAGAGGAGCGGAGTAGAACAAAAAGAGGAATTGCGTTCAGAAAGATGAAAGTTCTCATCCAGGAAACACTCCACTCTAGTTCTTGACCTCGGGAATATCAGCAGGCCTCCATGACCCAGCCTCAGGGTGCTCACCTGTAGAACACAGGTAATAATACCATACCTGCCACGGGGACAGATGCAAGCAGACTTCATTTTCTGTACATAGTGTACTTTTAGGACTTCTCAAGTGGCGCTCATGGCCCACCTGCCAATGTAGGCAGATGTTAAGAGACACAGGTTTGATCCCTGGGTTGGGAAGAGTCCCTGGAGGAGGAAATGGCTTACCCACCCCAGTATTCTTGCCTGGGGAATCCCATGGACAGAGCAGCCTGGTGGGCTACAGTCCATGGGTTCCAAAGAATTGGACATGACTGAGCAATAGACCACTTGTACTTATAGTGTACTTTAAACACTAAATAGCTAAAACTAGAACATTAAAGTCAAAACCACTGGATCTGTGTCCCTGTTCTACCCTCTGACCTCAGTTTCTACTTTTTAAAAAACAGGTACAATAATGGATCTCCCAGAGTTAAAAAGGAGTAATAATGCCAAAACTTCAGCCTCTGTGCACCAGTGCTGAATCAAATCTCAAAGACAGAGTTTTGTGTGAAGTAGAAAAGAACAGATTTATTACTTTGCCAGGCAAAGGTGGAAACAGTGGATGCCTGCTCTCAAAAAACTATGTGCCCCAACCTAGGAGAATTTGATTAGGAGTCTAATAGCAACAAGGGTACAAGGGTAGAGTGGCTGGTAAGATTGGGGTATGTGCAGGGCCTGCACTCTAATCTGGTCTCAGGTAATCCTGATGAGTTTCTTTTGAATGAACAAATTCCATTTGTTGTGTTTTAAAGTTTAAATGTGTCCCTTGAGGTGGAACCAGGACCCTGCCCCAAGGCTGCACTGCATTCCTGGCTGTTTCTCCCTTGTCTGTGCAACCCCTCCCTTCCCAATTTAGTAGCTGTTTAAATCTCTGCCCTTTGGAGCTCAGGGAAAGTCATGGAGGCTTGAGTCAGTTTCCTGCAAGAAACGGGATGGAAAGGTTTCCCCACCCATGGGCTCCACAGGGCTTTGGTTTCAGTAATGTGTGCATCAGGGTTTTACTGGGTACCTGGCATGTGTGAGGTATTGAATGGCCATCAGGGCCATAAACTTTTCTACTGGAAGCAAGTCTAAGTGAAAGATTGAAACATGAGACTGGGAGGGGGAATGTCAAAGATGATCCAAATATGTGGGCCCACTGCCTGTTGTGGGCAGGTCATTGAGATCACATCAGCTGCCACATTGAATCCTCTGGCTGAATCCAGTGTGATAGCCAGAAACAACATGGGTGCCTCGGGGTGTTCCATTTGTAGCATCCTCTGAAGAATGAGGTGGGTTGTTCCGTTTTTACTGAAATCCATGAGTATACGAGGCCTTCACGGGCCATCTTACCCACCCACCTCCTCAGGCGTGGAAGGGAGGTTTTGGATACTGGCAGGAGGCCAGCAGCTTCCCTCTCTACTTTTCTTCAAATAATACTGATGTTAGGCGCTGCAGGAAATCAGAAATACTGAAATCACAGCGTCTGTCCTTAAGTCCTGAAGCAGAAATTAAGAGCTGTAGGAAAATTATCCCTAGTTTAAAATAGAAAGTGAGAAACACTCTACAGGTGGTGGTGGTTGTTTAACTGGTTTAGTCACTAAGTCATGTCCAGCTCTTGCGACCCTATGGACTGCAGCCTGCCAGGCTCCCCGTCCGTGGGATTTTCCAGGAGGGAATACTGGGGTAGATTGCCATTTCCTTCTCCAGGGGATCTTCTGGACCTAGGAATCAAACCCAGGTCTCCTGCATTGCAGGAAGTCTCCTGCATTGCAGGCAGACTCTTTACCAACTGAGCTAGGAGGGAAGCCCGCATGCTACAGCAGTTGCCAGCCAAGTTTCAGGAAGAGATTTTGTGCTGTGCTGTGCTTAGTCACTCAGTCATGTCAGACTCTGCGACCCCACAGACTGTAGTCTCCCAGACCCCTTTGTCCATGAGATTCTCCATGCAAGAATACTGGAGTGGGTTGCCATGCCCTCCTCCAACAGATCTTCCCAACCCAGGGTTCAAATCACATCTCCTGCACTGCAGGGGGATTCTTTACCAGTTGTGCTATCGGTGAAAAGATTTTAGTATAATCCTAATCTTTATTGTATTAGAGGTCTTTTTGAAAAGGTAAATGGAAGCCCATTCTCATTAGGAAAATTATTCTAAAAAGAAAGAATAGGAACTAAAATGAAATCTATGTTTTAAAAAATTACAGATACAGAAATTGGACCAAAAATAGTGATCTCATTATCTAAGAGAGTACTTTAAAATGGGCCAGTGATAGTCTCTGGGTATCATCTTAAAATTGCCCCCAGACTGTTTACTTCTTTGAATCAGGTTAGTATTGGATGAGCTTCCCAGGTGGGGCTAGTGGTAAAGAACCTACCTGCCAATGCAGGAGACTTAAAAGATATGAGTTCAACCCCTGGGTTGGGGAGATCCCCTGGAAAAGGGCATGGCAACCCACTCCAGTATTCTTGCCTGCAGAATGCCATGGACTCTATTTGAGATCATGCACATTCAGTTATTTTGAACACAGACCTTTAGCTATTTAGAGCCTACTTACTCCACAGGTCCTGTGAAACTGCACCATATGGAACCATCTTCCAACCACAGATAAGACAAGCTCTGTAACTATACAAGATCCCAAGCCACTGCTTCCTTTCAAAGTTCGCCGACTCACAGACGTCCCACCTTGTTGCTAATCACCCGAACACGTAAGACGGCTCTCCTAGCCCCCTCTCCCCTGAGAGTTTCCTTGCCCGTTCTCCTCCAGGTGGTGACCTCACAATAGCCTCGGAAGAGATCTCCCCTCTTACACAACCCTGTGCAGGCCTCACCCGCTGAAATGTGCTGTGTTCTTTCTCTTTCTTGGTCAACCCTGGAATCCTCAAACCTACCACAGAAGGTGTTCTGTTTGGGCCGCTCTGCTCTGACAGAATACCATAGACTGGCTGGCTTATGAACAACAGACATTTATTTTTCACAGCTCTGGATGCCAGGAGACTCGGCGTCCGGTGAGAGCTCAATTCCTGCTTTAGTTCTCTCAGGCCCCCACATGGAGGAACGGAGGTCTCTGGGGTCTCCTTTATTAAGTCCTTAATTCCCTCCCAAAGGCCCCACCTCCGAACACCGACACTCGGAGGTTGCGTTTAGCGTATGGATTTTATGGACGCTCGGGGGAACCACCCCGAGCGGAGTGAACCCTGGACTTCGCGTCAGCAGAGGGACGCCCAGCTCCCCCCGCGTCCTGGCGCTGTGGCCTCAGGCCAGCCACTCACCCCTGCGGGCGTCACATTCCCCAGCTGAGGGAGAGAACGTCTACCTCTCCGCGTTGGTTTGACCCGGACCCTGTCAGCGCGTGAGGAGGAGCCAGGAGAGGAGCTCGGCAGACCGTCAGCAAACCACAAGCGACCTTTCAGTGTCCTGGTAGAACTCCCATGTTGTATCTATGGGGAAGCGACACGTGAGGTGAGAGTGCATGTCTCGCCCCCAAGTAGTGAGAGGCGCCGCAGAGACTAGGAGGGGAGCGCCTTAACAGCTTGGGAAACTTCCGGCGGCGCCTGCCCCCTCCAGTCCCGTGAAGATGACCATTCACCAGCGAGCCTGCCCCAATGGCGCCGTCCACCCCATTTCCCAGTGGGAGTCTCCTACGCCTAAGGCTGGCATATGTCTACCCGCAGGCCCAAGTGAGACTGGGGCTCCTTAGGTGACCAACTAGCTCCCCTGGTTTCTGGCTCCCATCTCAAGAGCTCAGCCTGTGACCAGTGTCATGACCTGCCTTCATCAAAGGCAGACCTGATTCTGGTGTTTGGCTGCTATTCACTATCATAAGCAGCTCTTACCCAACGATGGTGAGAGTGGTAATGGTTATCTGGGCAACCATTGTGGAGACACCCCTGCCTCTAGGCATTTTCCTTACCGTAGATCAAGACAGTTTTAACCTTGTCTCTTGATTCTAGGTCTGTGATGTCCAAGAAGTCTTTCTACTATGACAGAAATTGTCTATATACGTGCTATCCAATATGGTAGCTGCTAGCCATGCTGAGGACTCGATATGTGACTCATATGACCAAGGGGCTGAATTTATAATTGTATTTAATTCTATCTGATTTAAATAGTTACGAGTAGCCAGTGACTACCAAACCGGACAACACAGTTCTGGACTTTGTACATTTGGAGACTCCAATGCAGTTCTCTAAACATAGTAGTTAGTTTTCCTCGCCCTCTCTCAACCCCAGCAAACTTACTCTCCAGTATCAGAGCTTTTAGACTAGGAGCTTAACTAGCTCAATTTAGTTATCACTTTTCCTATTAGACTTGCATTTCCCAAGGCCGTTAGTGCACCTATCAGATGCAAGTCTTGAGTGAGAATGTGCTATGCACATAGGACCTCCTGTGCGCACAGCCTGGGGAGTTAAAGGAACAGAGATTCAGCCCTGAGGGAACTTGCTTCGGACAATGGAGAGTAAGTCTTGGTGATGGTGATAGTGGTGGAGATGGGGAAGAGAAGCCAGATTCTGGATTTATTTTGAAAGTAGAGTCAATGGTCTTGCATGAGCTTGAATATGGCTTAGTATGAGGGATGATACAGAGGAATCAAAGAGAGTTTGAGCCTCCAAGAAAGAGCCAGTGTGATAAGACATTGGGCAATATGGAGAAATACTAAAAATGACTCAAACTTCTCTGTGCGGCACCTAGGACCTTGAATCCCACTCCACACTGTCTCCCAGTTCTCCGGACATAACCATTTCACAAGCTGCTTTCCTCAGAGCCCTGAGAACTTACTGTGTTCATTACAATCTCAAGGTTTTTGCTTATGTCTACACCCTATGACATCCCAGAAGGTCCCCTAACTTTTATTTTCATTCTACATTATTCAAGAATAGACTTCCTACTGGATAACTTTTTCTTTAGTTTCAGTCTCCTCTGATTCTCCCACCTATTGATATTGCTAACTTTTTTACCTTACTGATGTCACTTTTCTGCTTAAAAATCCCATGATGAGCTGCAGATATAGCTACAGTAAGACATATGTACAAAACAAGTCCCAAACTCACTAGCATCCTCTGTGACGCATTCCATAATACTCACTAAAGGATTCATGGTCCCCAATGACACTTTTGTAGCTTACTTCACTTTCCATACTATATTATTTTTCTCTAGGTCCCTATTGTACATCAGCACAGACCCTGACACCTGATAGATACTCAATAGATATTTATTAAATCATTAAATCATCTATTTAGCATTTTACAGCTTTTCAACAGTTTTACTTGTCTTGGTCTCATGACTTGGAAAGTGTCTTCCAGAAGCTGTAAATGCAAATATCTACAGGATGCAGTTAGGGAAGGCAAATAAATATAGTTAGGAGTAGAACAATAAGGTACAGTGGGGCTTGTGACAAAGCACAGTATTTATGGCCTATCTAAAAGCATTCTAATGAGAAAATAATTAAATACTGTGTCAATCAAATGAAATAATCTGCGGCAAATTTGATCCATAGGCAATGTAGCCCACTGGGCTGGTAGATCATCACCTCTGAGTTAAGTTTTAATGTAATAAAGAATTCTTTCTATCAGTATAGAATTTTTGTGTTTTGCAAAGTGATCTGTAACTTACAAGACAAATAAGTCATTGCAGATAGGTAAATAGAAAATTCCTTAGGAGGATTCATCCAGAGGAGAAACTACCATGAGATGATTTCTACAAGAAGCAATCTAGAGCTCCTAACCACCTACTCCCTGACTAATACTTCCATTTGCCCCATTGTTGCAGGAGCAACCTTGCTGTTGAATTCATCTCTTTATCCCCAGCACAATATCTGGAATCACCCGAAGCCTCAAAACACATGTCAAAGTAATGAATGAATAACTTTGGTGCATTGATGCCTCTCCCTTTCCAATTCTGACACATTCTTGAAGCTACTCTTGATACCAAAACTTCAGGGGCAAAAAAGATCTCCCACTGCCATGGCAGGCTTCATGTGAGGGCAGCTATGGAAGGGCAAGAGGCTGAGTTGAAACTCTAGCACTTTGACAGCTTGTGTTAGTTGCTCGATCGTGTCTGACTCTTTACAACCCCATGGACTTTAGCCCGGCAGGCTCCTCTGTCTATGGAATTCTCCAGGCAAGAATACAGGAGTGGGTTGTCATTTCCTTCTCCAGGGAATCTTCCCAACCCAGGGATTGAAGCCAGGTCACCTGCATTGCAGGCAGATTCTTTACCGTCTGAGCTACCAGGGAAGCACTTAGAGAAAACCCAAGGCCCACCTGCAGCAATAAATTAAGCAGGCACCGTCGTTTGTTTTTTCAGCATGCATGGGAGGCAGCTGTAACTTCCGGGATCCTCTGCAGTGAAGAGCGCAGGTGGGACAGAAGAAGCAGTTAGTGAAGATGCTCAGTTAAAGCCTGAACGCTGAATACTCCCCGCCCCATCGAGAGGCTGCACAATCTGCAAAGTGATGGTGGTAGGACCCCTACAGATGAGACAAGGAGATCCAAACAGGACACCAAAGTCCTGATGAAGCATTTCCTCAGTCCCTAGGGAAGAGGGATTGAGAGCTGAGGCTAGAACTTTATTGTGTATTGATTATTGTTCATATTGCTTAATTGGCTTACGTTAACTGAAAGATAAATGCTATAGAAAGCACTCAGTACCTATGCTTTGATTGATCATCAAAACAATACCCTTAATCCTCATGCACAGAGTTCATGGTTTATCCAAAAGCTACAAGTTTTTCCATAACTTTTACCTGGGCTCCTGAATGCACAGAGGGCATTCATTTCATTCTTCCACCTGCTCTGCCCTGCAGTGTCTTAGAATACCCCTCTAGAAGCATTGCTTTCAGTCTTTTTTTTTTTTTTAATAAGCCTTGGGACTTTTCACTCAGATGAAATCTTTAAATAAAACATAGTGTATAAAGCAGATGCAGGCTATAGTGTTCTGTAGGAAGAAGTACCAGGGGCTATAATCAGCACAGTCCTTCCCCTCCCTCCTTCCCCACTCGCTGCCCTTCTACCCCCAACCTGGGCAATGTCAGGACACTCCGAGAAGCCTCACAAGATTTGCAGCGGTACTGAGTAAGCCCTGGGCTATCTCATCCATTCTCAGTGGCTCTCCAGGTAGCTCTACCTAAGATGTCTGATTTCAGCAAATCAGAAGTAAAGTTGTTGAAACTGACCTAATTCCTTCACCACTTGAGAGTTCCAGATCCTCCTTTCCTTTGTTCCCACTGTCAAAACAAGCTGGCTGCTAATAAAGCCTCTTCGGTATTCAGAGTATTTCAGGAGCATCCTCTGATTTGAGCATGAGTCTCTCCTCCTGGCTGTGAGAAAAAGAGACTAGCATTGCCATTCCACATCACAGGAGCAGAGACCAGTCCGGAGGCTCTGCTGGGAACTGGTGCCCATTCCTCTGACTCTCTCATCTATGATTCAAGGAAGCCCGGGCCCCAGGTAGCTGTGTGTCTGGGGTGCCTCACTCTATACCTCACTCTGCACTTCAAAGAAGTCAACTTTCCCATATACCACCCCCCAAATCGAACACTCCTCCCATTACTCATCTCTACCTAACACACACACACAAACCAAGCTACAGATACCTGCGTTTGGCACATAACCCATGTCCTAAGCCCTTTTCTTCCCTTATCCCACCTCAAGTTATTTTTCCTGGTTTGTGCCTGACATTGGCTTCCAAAGATCGCATCTCTTCCTGCATCTCAGGATTCAGATTCTCCCGCTGGAATCCTGAACCCTGGATCCTCTCACATGGATCGTGATTTATCCCAGTGGTGATAGTTTGAAGATCTACATGCACCAACCACTCAGATTATAGTTGAAGCTGTCATCCAGGCAGTCGGAGTGACACCCGGTGAACACACCCTTCCCCTGGGCTCTGGTTGTCTCGAACTTCCATCTGATGTCAGCTACTCCAGGCGGACAAACACACCTTCCAAATACCCACTTTAGCCTATGCCCTCAGCATTTATCAAAGACATAGGAGTAGGGTCAGATATATGCCTCCCACATTGTTGCAGCAAACCCTAGTCATTAGTAAATATATAACCTTCCCATGGGAGAAAAGGTTAGTCTCTCGGTGTCTTCTTTTAATAAGACTAATAAAGCTTATTAGGTATTGACTCGCATAATGCTTCAATTCGTACTATATAGCTAGATCAAAATAATTTTAAATGAATAAAAGCAATGAAGTAAAAGGAAAATGAAGTAAAGGGAAAGCAGTCAGAACTGGACATGGAAAAATGGCTCCAAATTGGGAAAGAAGTACGTCAAGGCTGTATATTGTCACCATGCTTATTAAACTTATATGTAGAGTACATCATGAGAAACGCTGGGCTGGATGAAGCACACATTGGAATCAAGATTGCAGGGAGAAATATCAATAACCTCAGATATGCAGATGACACCACCTTTATGGCAGAAAGTGAAGAGAAACTAAAAAGCCTCTTTATG